ACTTGAAGATATAGCAGAGGAATTGTATTTATAGATTTAGATATGGATATACACATACACACAAACACATATTCCCATATATGGAATAATTCAGGGACTGACCTAAAATGTAAAACCTGCAGCAATCCACCCCCTCTTCAACCCTAACACACACACACACACACACACACACACACACACACACACACACACACGCACGCACACACAGCCTACTTAGCTTTTCTGCTTCCTGAAACAGGGAGTTTTCATTTATACCCATTAAAAATGTGTTCATCAGAACACCACCAAAAAGAAAAACGGTGAAACTAAGAGAACAGAAGAAGAAAAAACACATATCATGGAATTTGGATTCTGGTTAATAAGCAAGACACGGCCAAGAAACCTGAAATTTGGCTATGAGGATATTGTTTGGTCACTTAAGATTCTGCTCCCTGCTTCTCTGGTTCCTGTGAAGCCACAGATCTTTCAGTGACGTGAACTAGTTTACAGTAATCCTTTTTCAAACCTGTACTGGGTAAATGGTACACAGCTCAATGAGGTAACATAAAGCTCAGGAATACATTTCTTCCTTTTCACCATGTCCACTCACATCAATCATAATCACCCTCCAAGGATCCCAGGTGCAACCTTCGCCTTTATCCCTCCTTTCAGAAGCAGAGATAAAGACACAGACATAGGCGGACAGACACCACCAGCTAGTTTGCTTCTCCACAGTCCACACCACCAGGTCGGGAGCAGCTGAGCCCCAGAGCCAGGAACTCAGGCATGCATCTCTCCGGGGTACACATGAGCAGAAAACAGTAACGACAAAGGAGCCAGGACTTGGGCCAAAACACTCCTACTAATTATTCCAACCAGAAGCTTAAGCACCCACCCTACGTGGTCTTTCCTTGTACAAGTGCTTGGTACATAGCAGGTACTCAGTGTTTGTTCAGTGGATAAACAGGTATACTCGGATGCCCAATCATAACACAGGCATGACCCTGGTATGGTAGCCTAGTGGCTAAAGTCCTCACCTTGCATGCACTGGGATCCCTTATAGGTGTCAGTTCGGGTCCTGGCAGCTCCACGTCTCATCCAGCTCCCTGCTTGTAGCCTAGGAAAACAGTTGAGGATAGTACAAAGTCTTGGGACCCCGCACCCACATTGGAGACCCAGAAGAAGCTCCTGGCTTCAAATTGGCTCCGTTCCAACCACTGCAGTCACTTGGGGAGTGAATCAATGGATGGAAGATCTTCCTCTCTGTATATCTGCCTTTCCAATAAAAATAAATAAATATTTTTTTAAGAAACCATAATACATGCAAACACAATAATGGTACATTACTGTGCCAGCAAGAAGGTTTGTGATTTTTCATTTAAAATCCATTCCAACCTGCCAAACAATGACTGGTAATACAGAATCCTATGTTTCATTCATTTGAATCATTCGAGTTTAGGATTCCTCTTGCCTCATTCCATCTGTGTGGCTTCTTACATCCACCTCATTGTACCAGTTGTGGCACCTTCCCAATGCTGCCTAGTCTAATCTACTATGCTGGAAGAGTTCATGTCATACCATTTGGACAGGGTCTGAGGAGGAAGAGATGCTGGCAACTCCTCATCAAGGATTTTGGAGTACAGCACAGGCTTCAATCTCACCAAGTCTAACTTTCTACTACAATGAAGTCAAGTTTTGTACCTATTGGAAAGACTGTTCTGAAAGTTGTAACAGATAAAATTGTACCAGAAGCAGAAAGTTAAGAAACTATTCAGGGAAGACACTTAGCCTGGTGATTCAATTGTCATCAGACCCTTGGTTTCAGCTTGGCCTAGATCCTGTTGTTGGGGGAACAAGACGTAAACCAGCAGATAGGAGTTGATCTCCTTTATTCCCTCAACAACATCTCTCTCTCTCTGACTCATTCTGTCTCTGTCTCTCTGCCTCTCAACCTAGAAATGGAAGAGAAAAAAGAAAATATTTAGTCATTTAAGTGAGAAAAAGTGAATGTCTGAATGATGATGGTAAAGGGAAGGAGAAAAAGAAAGAAATGAGGAATACATTAAGAGCGGCAAATGGTCTGGAAAAGTAACTGAATGAAATGCAGATTCAACCGGCCGTGCTGGGCTGCTGGGCTGGAAGGCAGTGGCTTTAGAAAATGGCCTTTATGGATGAAAACCGTGAGAAAAGCCAGCATGGAGAGGATAACATGAAAGTTGAGTCCTCAGTGACAGAGTAGCACAAGATTCATGGTGAGAGATGGTGAGTGGGGAGACCCCACAGAGAAATCATGGATCCCTGTGGTGTGCTCAGCATTAGGCTGACAGCCTAAGAGATGCATTCATGTTAGTACACTTAATGCCAAACTGAAAGTGTAAGAGACATTGAATTCAGGCTGCACTGTCTGCCCAGAACTCAGTTCCCCTTCTGAAAGTAAAACCCTTTACCCCATGGGAGCCAAATTACTGACCTCTCCCTTATCCTGGCAACCATGATCTAGTGCAGGAAACTACTACCATGACCTCAGTTATTGGTTTAAGTCTCAATAATTAACCTGGAACCATCTAATCAGAATTATTTCAATGATTGGGATGCTCTGTTTTAAGGCTTTCAGATTTCTTCCCCAAGCTATAATGAATGCATTCTAACTGTTTTTTCTCCCCGTGTACCTCTCTCACATTATTTGTCATAGGGATCTTTCAGTTGTATAAAATCTCAATGCCAACCAGCTTAAGAGCTGAAGAGTACATCCACATACATACCACAGTTCCCAGGCTGGTTTTGAATCACTGTTATCCCACTACCTTCATCACCTTGGTAAGGATTTCAACAGAATTGTGTAACAGGGACAACATATTCTGTCTGAGAAAACAGATTCATTCTACTAATTACACAACACCTTCTCAATGTTTCTTTTCTATTACCATGCCGTACAATTTCTTAAGAACAGGGTACAAGCTGATGATTCTTCACACACACTGCACATAAATATCATCATGCCTTTAAAAAGTGCTACTGACTTTTCAGCAGTGGCTCTTCTGATAGGTCTCCTTCTGTTCTTATCCTGGGATTCTCAAGGTAAAGGCAACAGTTTAAGAGTATGACAGAGGTTATTGACGAACTGATAACACTCCACTGGCATAGAGCTGTGAGTCATTTCATTACCATGCAAATCTTCTTTATTGGTATATGCTGTGTTAGATCCAGGGTGTGCTGGGTGTTTGGACACAGTGCACGCCTAGAGACTCACATTCTAAAACGAACCAAACCTGTGTTGCTCAGTTGAGGTGATGAAAACTTCCTCTAATGTCATCTGTGAGATCTTTCATGAGACAAATGGATGTCGGTTTGGCTTCACATGACCAACATAGCCCTACTATTAATGAAAGGGGTGTTCACTGCAGTTTAGAAAATCGCATTTGGAAACTGCTGTAGATTTATTAAAATAAATCCACACGTTAAAAACTGCTAATTAGAAAGCTTATATTACTAGACAGTAAGGTGAAATCAACCAATCACAGGGAATCCCCAGCGCCTATAAAACTGTACCACATAATACAATGCAAACAACAATAAAAAAAAAAGAAAACTCATTAAATTCAAGATTTAGCTCCAAAACTACCGAGCCATGGAAAAGCCTAGGATCGCCCCTGAAATACTCATGCTTCTCTGAGTTTTTCATTTGTAAAGATTTGCATGTTCTCATACACGCTACTGAGGTGGAGAAGACACATGCCATTATTTTTATTCCATCTTGAGAGTTGCTAGAATTTAGAGTTGTTAAGAAAATCCCTCAGGTGAGAGATCCAAGGAATGGGGACAGAGATTACCTTACCTCTATGTCCAGCAGACAACAAGGAGGAAAACAGGTAAGAGTTGAGCTTACACACACCCTACAATTCGACCCAGTCACATAGTTGTTTGAATATCAGTTCCTTCATTTATGAAATGGATACTATTCAAATGGAAATACTGCTTTGTGGGTTCAAGGAGATTATATAGGGTAGACATCCAGTGTATACTAAATAGATATTGCTAGTTCTCATCTTTCTCCCTCTTTTAGAGAACACTTTATGCAAAGTTAAGCATGACCTGTGCAATTCCAAAGTCATGATCATTATGTAAAAGCCATGCAAGACCTTCAGCTATCAGTAAGATTCATATTTACATTGACCATTTCCAGTTCCATCCTTGCCACTACTCTTTCTTCAATATTTATTTCATTTATTTGAAAAGCAGAAGTAAAAAATCTTCCAGCCACTGGTTTACTCCCACAAATAGCCACAAAAGTCAAGCCTGGATGCAGGCTGAAATCCAAGGAATTCACTTGGAATTCAATCCAGGTCCCCCACAAAGAAGAACACGACTTGGGGTGCTCATGAGTGGAAAGCTAGAATTGGCATGGAAATCAGGAGGGGGCATCTCAAATGGTAATTTAGCCTGCAGCACAAGTACCTGCCTGCTTTTCTATTTCTTTTTTTTCAGCAGATAACACTTCCATTTCTAAATCTGAAACCTGCAAGATACCCTATGCCTCTCGTGCTTGCCCTCTACATTCCCATTAATCATTGTGTCCTACCATGTTACTTCTTAAAAATCTGCCCTAATTCTACTTTCTCCCCCTCCTTCACAATGGCCAGTGCACTGATGCATTCCCCCTCTTGCTTCCAGTCTCAACCACTCCACTCTTAAGTCTTCAGGACATCTGCATGGCCATGGAAGCATCCTGAATCAAGCAACCCTTCCATCTGTCTGAAGACTCTACAATCTCTAGGTCCAAAGTCGCGCCCCTCCCCAATTCCATTCACTGTCCATTGAGGGCAGCAGGTGGGCCCCGGACCAGCCCAGTCACGGAGACCTCCCTCCTCGGTGTACTCACCCCAAAGGGAGCAGCCCCCGGAGCCCAGGCAGGCCTGGTGACAGCTCACCATGTGCACATGGTGGCTGTTGTCTGGGATCCAGGCATGAGACACCCCATCCTGAGACCCCGACCCTAAGGGTTCATGTATTAGATGCCTGTTCCCAGTGTGATCATGTTGAAAGGTGGTGGAACCTGTAAGAAGCAGGGCTTAGTGGGTAATGATTAACTAATCAGAGTAACTGTCCTCAGAAAGAAGTATTTCTGGTCTTGCGAGGGGGAGTTTTTTTCAACAGTGAATTGTTACAGAGGAGCAAGACTGCAAGACTGGCCTCTCCCTGGCATCCTGTGCTAATGTGGGATCTCTCTCTCTCTTCCACACATAAACACACACACACACACACACACACACACACACACACATATACATACTCATATCTGCCATGACCACATCCACCAGAGGGAACCAGGCAAGAGCTGACACTATCCTCTATACCATCTGCTTCCAAAATGTTTTCAAAATAAATGTCTTTATTTTTACATGACCTAGTGTTGCATATTTTGCTGAAGCAATGGAAAACACAAAGACAGTTGTAATGTTCTGCTGGGGTGAGAAACGAACTCTAAGAGATGCTGCAATCATCTCTTACCAATTACGGGATGTATAATTGACTGCTGTATGTTTTTTTGTATGTGTTTGTAAAAAGGGTGTGTATTAGCTGGGAAGCTTATGCTCTCACAATTGTGGAGGGCCAAAGTCTGATGTCAACCTGTTAGCAGAGTCCAGCTCTCCTGACGGCTTCAGAGACAATCTCACAAGGACACTAGTCCTTAGATTTAGGACTCCACTTGATAATACATAATGATTCTTAATCTCAAGATTATCATTTTTTTATAGTAAGGTCACATTTACAAACTCCAGATATTAAGACGTAGACATGTATTTTGGGAAGCCTTCATTCAACTCACTGCAAGGTGTGACAGTTTGCAAACACTGATGGAGACGACAAATGTAAAGCTCTCAGAATAGAACCTTGCAGAAAATAAATACAATAAATTACTGTTGATATTGCTAATGTTACTAACACTGTGTCATGGTGACTGTAACCGAAGTTGGCACAAAGATAGTACTTTTCCATTATTGCTTTTCTATTTAGGAAACTATATTTCTTAGGCTAAAAATATTAACTATCACACTTCAGACATATGTGCAACAGTTTAAAAAGGTTATTCTAGTTAATCATCAGTTTGCCAAAAAAAATTCAATCGATCAGAATTATCATTCCCTGTGTGAGAATATGAGTATCATTTCGATCTATAGCCATTTAATAATAATAAAAAAGATTATTCATGCCAAGGGCATGGAGTATTTGGGATTTTTGTGTTACTCAAATAGAGACTAACTTCATTTGAAATAAAGTTGAAAAGGTCAAGTGTATGTAATTATAGACTTGGAAAGGCTAGGAAAACAACATCAAATAACTACCTTGCAAGATTACAGCTGTGGGGATGAGCAAAGTTGGCAGAGAAACGACTTGTCCCAGGTCACTCCCAGAGTTGGTGACAAAGGGGGCAGTATTGATCCAGCTTCATCACAGTATACGTGTTTCATCTTGTCATCACCCAACGCAAAGACCAGTGCTAACGTAAGCTACCTGAAAGGACAGGGAAGATACAAAAAAAATCAATGTGTGTGACCGAAAAGCTTACTCTCAGGAGCTTTCACTATTCTAACACATCCGTGAAAATATATAAATAATACATTTTTAATTTACCTCTCATTTCATTTGATAAAAGCACCAGGGAAAAGCAGTGTAACAGCTTCCAAATGCCTTATTTTGATACCCAATGTCATTTACAACTTTCTCTGATAGTAACATAACCCTTTTCTTCCATTTCACATGTACTCTGTTCCAATAAAATGAAATGCTCACTAGTTCCACAATTACTCCATGCATCCTTCCTTCCACATTTTGATCAAAGTTTTGTTCTTTCTGTTTTGAACATTATTTATTTCCATATATCCAAACCCTGTTGCATTTGAGAGCTCAGTTCAAGTGCTGTATGGGCCATGGAGTCTTTGCTCCTTCATGGTGGTAACACTTCCTGTCTATGAGCCTCGGTAGCTCATTTTCTATACCTCTCTGGCATTAATCACATATAAGTTTGTATTTATTTTTATTCATTTAGTTAAAGCCCCATGGAAATTTTTAGCAAGAGATTTCAATAAATAGTACTTATGTCAGATTTTATTAAAAGTCCCCCTGTCCATAGAAGTATGCTCTGACAGAGATTAAAGATATGAACCTAACACCCTGGCCCAAGCAAATGGAGTAGGATGAGAACGGAGCTCAGGTCCACCAATGCCTGTCGTGAGCAGGGACTATGAGGTAGCAGACAGGGAGGATAAGTGATGAGAGTTCACCGCTGCTTCACGGGATTTGTTCAGTTTTCAGAATTTGAACAGTCAAGTGAGTCACAGTGTTGATTTCAAATCAACTGTAGTGCGAATATTTGCATTACAGAAAATGACAAACAGTAAATAAGTATTCAGGTTAGCCCAGGCCCGAGCCGACCTCCCAGAGCACCATGACGGTAACAAACCAAATCTTGTCCCTTGTTGTCTTGAGTATGAGGCCTGCCGTCAGTGGTCCTTGACAGAAACAGACAAGGAGAAGTCAACAAGAAAAGAGCATGAGTGGTGAAAGGAATACAGCGGCCAAGGCTCGGAGGCTGAAACCTAAGAACAGAACTAAGTTCATCCGCGATGGCAGGTGTCGTTAACGCACAGGCGTGTGGTGCAGCTGTTATGAGCACAAACTCCTACAGTAGGAGCACAGACTCCACCTCAGTCCCACAGTTTTTCTAGATCCCAAGCATCGTTTTTAATCCCTGCTGTTCGTCGGGGCAACCTCTGCAGTGATCCCTGTTTTCCTCTCTTTTTGTCTCTCTCCATTTTTCCCCCTCTTCACACTGGACTTGCAACTCATGGAACATGAAGGAGTTACCAGAACACTTTGCAGGCTCAAGAAGTACTTCCATATGCATCCTCGTGTTTAATCCTCAGCACAACCTGAGCAGGCACATAGGTCATTTACTCTCGTTAGCACTTAAGAGAAGGAAGCTGAGGCTCAGAGAATCTGCAGCCAGAAAAGTGAGAAAAAACAAACCCATGTCCTCTGGTATCAGAATCAGGAACCCCAACCACTTTTGGTGTCGTGGACCTATAAGTTTCATGAAGTATGAAAATATTTTGGCGGTTTCCAATGTCAGGTCACATTCCGTGAATGACATTAGGATTAGCAAATCATCAAAGCACAAAGGCCCAGAGGCAAAGAAAAAAATGAAGGACAGAGAGAGAATAGGAGAAAATGAGATTCGAATGTTTGAATGCCATAACTAGAAAACGTAGTGTGTTAATACACAAACACAGATAACACACACACACAAGAGAGGTCTTGGAAAAGTTTATGGATGATGCATACTATTAAAAATTGTTATTAAAAATTATGCAGTTTTCAATTTTTGCACCAAAACAAGCTTATCTTTTATTCCATTTCCCCTGAACTTTTGGTGCATCCTCATACATGTGTACTATTGCATGGATACTATTAAATATGCATTGTGTGGCATCAAACATACCCGAGTTAAAATCCCAGCTTACCTACAACTTGGCCATGATAATCTCAGCAAGTCACATATCAAGCCAGCAGGATCCATGCATAAAAAGAACTTTGGTTTCTTTGTTTCCCACACTAGGACCTGGTAAATTTTAATGGTAAAGGAATGTGACCAGCTAGGCACAAATTTTGCCACAGAGTTAAGTCTTTCATCTATGATATCCATTTATTACTATTATGTTAAGGAAAATAATGAATAATTATGATCATTTAAAGTCACATGACTCTAATCCTAAAACAGGAACATTCCGATGGCTAACAGAGGACTTCTCTGTAGAAAATGAGGGAATTTTACACATATGCACGGTCTACCATGATTATGTACCAAGTTCCAGATTAAACAAACAAAACGGCTGCTGCTGGACTGTGCTCCCTAGAGAGATCTGATTCTTGAAAATAACGAAGGGGCTAGATTGTCCTTTGATTCCTGTGCTACCTGCACGTGGGCGATGTGATTGCCTTCCCAACCTCCTGGCTGGAGGAAGGATTCAGATGCTTGAGAACAAAGCCTACTGAGCTGGACACACAGCTTCCTGGGACCCTCAATCAGCAGGGAATTCCCTGGCCACCTCAGAGACAGTGTGCTAAATCTCCATCTATTTTCTGAGAGAGCAATCACCTGTATTCTCAGAGACCTCTCCATGTGGCTTCATCATTGCCGGCCGTGTCTCTGCTAATACATGATACAGACTCATTCCAGTTGCAAGGTGATTTTCTCATGCTAAAATCTAGAGATTAGACTCAGAACAGCTTCTGGAGAGAGGCTTCTGGATATAATTCTTTTACAATTTCAAAGTTAGAAGAGAAAAATGAATGAAAACATATAAACTAGAACCAAGAATTAAACCCCACCCAATATAGCCTCTATTTTTAAAATTTCCATTTCTTTTTTAATGTGAGAAAGAGAGAATGTTCCCATCTGTTACCCACTCTTCAAATGATGCTAATGAGGGTGAGGTGCAGTCTTGATCTAATTGTGTTGATTGGGAAGTGGGCCTGATGGGAGGTCCATGGGTGCTTGCAAGAGGGTTGTCTGTTCCAGCCCCATTTCAACTAGCCTCTGCCTCTGTTTCTGGGCTTTCAAGGGGCCGTTCCAGGGTGTCGCCGCCCCCATTGGCAGCCTCTGTCCTCAAGAGATACCAGACAACCAGGGATCTCCAACTTACGCCTTTTGTCCTCAGAAGTAGCTGCTTTCAAGTATATTATTCACAATAATGAAAAACCAAAGTATATGTATAGAAACACACATATATCACACACATTTATACATTTATGGGGAAAGGAGGGGTAAGAAAAGCAAGTACCAGGACACACTCAGAGTGACAGACGGAGACAGAGGCGGAGACGGGGGAGTGCTTAAAGACCTGGTTCACATCATTGTGTGAGTTGGCAAGCCCAAAGTTGGGCATAAATGCAGATAAAATCAGGCATTTCAGGGTGGAGTCGTTAGGATATAAACGCAGGTGGGATTTCTCTGCTGTTGTCCAGAGCCAGAATTCCTTCCTCCAAACACCTTTAGGCTGAATGGGTAAGGGCCACCCATATCACAGAGGGCCATCAGCTTTCCATAAAACAAATGTATTATAAACATCAACCACAGCAACATTTAGACTGGTGTTTGAGCAAATATCTCTGGTGAGTACAGCCTAGTGAGGCTAACACACAGAATTCACCATTGTGGCCACATTTCTAATAGCTACTCGAAAGCTCCTACAATACAGTATAATGGCTCCTGACTTTGAAGATGGCAACTTATTTGACTTCCTTTCCAAACCCCAGCATGGGGAGACACATTCTGGGTAAGAGCATTAGCAGGCTGTAAAGTGCTGACAAGGTGTAGACCAGACACAAGCAGCTTCCCGACTGGGTGATTAACACAGGAGGGCAGGGCAACCTAGGCCGCACCTCCTCAGCACACCCCTGAACCCATGCACAGTCCACCTGCTCATGCACCCTGTACTTCAGGGTGTGCGGGACATTACCTAATTATGCTCAATGAAAAGGAGTTCTTTTATCATTAGATGGAACTCTTGTCCCAACCTGCCACACCTGGCTGGACGCAGCCAAGAGAATGCCATTTTCAGGTAGTTATAAATGTCTTTCCAACCCCAAGCCATGTGCCATTTTTGCTTAGCTGCATTCTGGTGTCATGGGAAAGCAGTCACACACCCCTTCCCTATATGGCCCAAGGGGAAGCACCCAGAGTAGGCTGTGGGAAATCCTGGCTTCAGAGTCTAGTGTTCCATAACCTGGCATCGGCAGAGATTCCAGAGAATTTGCTGGTTTGACTCACTGCTCAGTCATGTCCAGGCCTGAGAAACCAAGCTTTCCTTTCATTGTTTTTATTTATTTTTATTTTTTAAACAAAGAATCTCTTCTCTTCCCCAGACATGGACTTTGTTTTGCCTTGGGCTGTCATGGACATCTATGTAACAGGAGTTGGCAACAGGATCTACACAGGCTCTTTTACTGTTTTCTCCATTATCTGCAAAACAGAATGATCATCCATGCCACAGAGTCCCTGTGAGGGTTCCATCACAGCGGAGGCAATATGCCTCCCACAGAGAATCCTCTTCCCTGCTCCCTGTTGTCTATGAAATGCCTTCATTGCAGCGTAGCTTTCCCTGTGTTGTCCTATAGGATGGCACGCCCAATGACACCAGTGTTCATTTCCCCCAACTAGTAGAAGTGGGCACTGCCATCAGTTTGACATCCTTATGACTCTAGGATCAACAGAAGGAAGATCCATTTGGTTCTCAATTCATACATTCACTAGCATTGTGGGGCTGTTTGTCCACAACCTATGACCTAGCAGGGAAATGGGTGGTGTCTGGGAACATGGTGACAGAAGATCAGGACAAGCAGGCAAGAGCGTAATTGGAGAGGCAATCAGTAGGAAGTGCAGGTCCAGGCAGAGGCTGAGTGTACAGGTGACTGCAGCAAAACAAAGGGAGAATCTGAGTTAAATGGGCTGA